AAATAATCTGATTAGAGGTCATATTTGCATAAGATTTAAATATTTAAAATGAATTGGATATGAGCAATAAGATGCAATATGATTTGTAATGTATAAAGGTATTTGGTAGCCCAAGATTTAATCAGGTCGACAACCAAATAAAAAGCATATTGCATCTTATTGCTCATATCCAATTCCATTTAAATATTTAAATCTTATGCAAATATGACCTCTAATCAGATTATTTATTCTCGTGAGTATTTATTATCTTTAAAACCTACTGATCGTCAATACCATAATAAAGAAAAAAAGCATCATGCCGGGTGGCAAAGAGCCTTAAAAAATACCCCTATTCATTTTATGACTGTTCCAGCAATTATGAGTACTAATTGTCGCTCCCTGCCAGCTAAAATTAACTGTCTTCAATCACTCGTGTCTTCCATTATATATCGTAATACTGGGATCATATCACTTTAAGAAACATGGCTACATGATCTATATGGTTACAGTCTAGTGTATCGGAATGATTTCAAATTATTCAGACAAGATCGGTGTAGTTCGAGGAAGAAACGTGGTGGCGGTGTCGCCATCTTCATCAATTCACAATGGTGTACATCTAATAATGTATGTTTCAAATTCTCTAGTGACAATATTGACTGCCTCACCGTTAACTGTCGACCTAAACATTTGTCAAAATATAACTACATATACACCTCGAACATTTATGCTGCTCCTGGATGCAATTCCACAGAATTGTCTTTATTTGAGGATGAATTTACCTCTCTTGCTGCCACCTCCTTCAGAAACTCCTTGTCTATAGTTACTGGAGATTTCAATTCTAGTGACCACAGCTTCCTTATTTCACTTGGACACGAAAACATTGTCAACTTCCCGATTCGACTGGATAATACTCTTGATCTTGTGTTTACAAATGACACAGGGAAATTTGAAGCTCGGAAAAGAGCCCCACTACTTAATTTTGATCACTGTATCATAAGAATATTGCCCAGATGTTATTCTCATGACAACATACAGAATCTATGGTCCATGTTAAAAGACACAAACTGGGACTTATTTACTGAACAAGCTCTTGATAACACATTTACTAACATAACACATTATCTTCACTTCTGTCTTGATGTTTGTTGTTCAAAAGAGAAAATCTTCTTAAAATTCGACCGCTTCTCCTCTTCTCAACTCAAAAAGCTTCGCCGTGAGAAAGAGAGGTTGTACAAAATGAAAAATAAATCTGGTGTTAAGAGAATGAACACTTTGATTAAAGCTGAATTACAAAGATTGAATTCCCTCTATAACCAGAAGTTTCTTTCATGTAAATCCTCATCTAATATGTGGAAGTTATTAAAGGAAATCACAGGTGGTAACCAAATAATGAATGATACTTCTGTCGATGTTGACATGCTTAATAAATCCTCCATATGTATCCCTGCAGATGTTATGATTCCTAACTCTAATAGTGTAAATAATGACTGCTTCTCATGCTTTAATACGAATGATGTCCGTAAGTGTCTTCAATCTCAAGCCTACTCAGTCCCTTGGTTCTGATGGTGTTCCTGCTGTTATTCTTAAGAAGTGTACTGACATCTTATGTTCCCCATTAACCGACATTTTCAACGAATCCTTTTCCAAAAGTATTATACCTGACTCATGGAAAAATATCAAGATTGTTCCAGTGCCTAAATCAACAAGTGGACCTACTGTTAAGTTTAGACCCATTGCTATTACCTCACCCTTTTTGAAAGTTATGGAAAGACTTATTTTACTTAATCTTGAACCCTCTTTAAAACCTTTCAATGACCCCAACCAGTTTGCTTATAAACATAGTAGGTGTACCTTAGATGCCGCTGTTGTCCTACATCATAATATAGTCTCTAGTTTAGATAGAGGAGCTAAATACGTTCGCTGTGCCTTCCTTGATTACACATCTGCATTTGACTCTGTCCCCAGGTCTCTCTTGCTAAGTAAGCTTGCTGCAACACAGGCTGAGAGCTGGACAAATAAGTGGTTGCATTCCTATTTTTCTGATAGGAAGCAGTACACCGTCTACAATGGAAAGTCCTCCACTACCTCACTTACTTTAGCTGGTGTTCCTCAAGGTGCTGTTCTTTCTCCTTTTCTGTTTTCTTTTTTCTTACATGACTTGCCTCATTCTGATGTAGCCACTTTTGTTAAGTATGCTGATGACCTCTCTGTTTCTATGCCTGTCAACTCGCAGTCAGATTGTTCCAAATTAAATAACTTTCTGTCGGAAATTAGTCAGTGGTCCTCTTCAAACGGTCTTAAGCTGAATCCGTCTAAATGTCAGGTAGTCAATTTCACTTTCAGACGTAAATGTGACCTACAACAACTAGTTAGCTCACATGGCCCCACTATCATTGACGGCATAGAGGTTGAAATTACATCTAATGTCAAGTACCTTGAACTGAGTATTTCCTCCGATCTTTCCTGGTCCTCCCACATCTTGCTAGTTACTAGAAAGATGTTTCGCTTAACGTTCTACGTTAGGAAATTTAGGCAGTCTGATATAAAGCAGTCTTTGCTTTCTCAGTTTGTCAATTCTTGTATTCTACCCATCCCTCTTTACTGCTCCCCATTAATCTTTCCTGGACTACTTAAGAAAGACTTTGCTTTGCTGAGAAGGGCACTAAAAGCCGTTAGTAGGGCAAGTGGGATATCGTTAAACCAACTGGTTAACACTATTGTGGATAGACATATAATGTCATGTAAGAAACTAGCGAATACAATATTGTCGGACCCTGAGCATCCTCTCTATACGCATCTCTCTCCTTGCATTTCATCTGGTAGAACTAGAAGCAGCTATAGGAGGCTATATGCTAGGACTACCAAGTACAAAAACTCCACAATACCATATCTGGCACAGCTGTTATGTGATGAGAAATCCGTTAGGTATGACACGATCAACTTACTGCGGCACTCTAACAAATAGTCCCATTAGTTTTTGTTTTCCTTTCTTCGTTACTATTATATTGTTGTTCACATCTTCTATTACATACTTCATATTTCATATCCTGTGGTGCATTGTTTAAAATGTAAATGCAACGCTGTTTTTCTTCATTTCTTTTTATTTATCTATTCTTTTGTTGTTGCTTTTTGATTTTAAAATCTTATAAAATCTATGGGCTAATTAGGTGCAATATATTGTAATGCACGCTGAAAATTCCACACCTGTACCACGAATACTGTTTGGAATAAAGCTTTTATTATTATTATTATTATTATTGCTTCTCAGTATATCACTCTAAGAATGATCTTAAAATAAAACTGGCCATTTATATACACATATAATGTCAGCCATCAGGAGGAAATCCAGTGAGTGGAAATTAACAGTGGTAGCTATGTCTCAGTAATACAGGATATTTCAAAAACTTCCTGTGATTTATGCAACAATAGCTGAAACTTAGCACGTATCTGCGTAAATGATGTCAAATAAAAATGCTTCAGTGAGAAGGAAGCAATGAATAAACAAATACATGTACCTAATACAAATAGGAAGAAATAATTCATGCATTTACCACAAGTCAACACTTAGAATACCAAATGTCCATAGGGTATCACTATAAAATCCACAAAATATATTATACGCCCATATTGACATGTGGAAACTTATGAATTATACATCATTTGGTTTTAATGCGAAACAACAAGCTCATATGCAGCGAAGACTCAAAATTAACGAAATATCAACCAATTGTGTGAAACAAGAAACCATACAAATAAAGAGGTATCAAATCCCCGTATATTGATGTGTTACTTAAACACACCACACCATTAAAAACTTGACATCAGTGCATGAAGACGTCGTGGTTCACTTCATTTCTCAAAACAAGATGTGAACTATGATTGATTAAGAAACTTATTTATTTATAAACACATTTATCAAAAGACACCTAATGTAGAACTAACATTCGCCTCAACTAACAATTAACTTCCATTTTGACTGAAACGTTTTCAATAACAGCATACAGTCGAATGTTAATGAGACCTAGATGAGAGTTCCGCATCGGATCTGCGAAGTAGACGTACAATGGATATATATTAGAACGGTGAATTATGTGACACAATTGAAGCCATCGTATCAAATACAAACATCTAGCGAGTTTAGAACTTTGAATAAACTGACATATGTGAGCGTGACGGAAGTCTGAGAAAAACAAAACTGGAAACAGAAGTGAATAGAGTAGCACAACACAGATCACAGCCAAAAGTAAAACTAGGAAGCCTTTACCGCAGTAATTTCAACTACTAAACACACTGCAAAGTGATGATTTGCAGCGTTTAAGACACAGGGTGCGGTCACTAAAATATTTTCCGAAGAACTACAATACTGTCTGGGTGTCTAAAGTGAAGCAAAGAGGCCATTTCCAGAGCTCTTCAATTCAATTTAGTACACAAGATAGAACAAAGTGAGGCAGCCTATGATAAAAGTGAGCCGAAGTAACTACTTGCAAATACCAGCGACCCCCGCACATCACAATACATAGCTTTAACCTTACATATATTAGTCCTCTTACATTGCAAAAATTAGCAATCACCTTCCATGTCCCGATCTTGGCAATTAAACTGGTTGCTCCTTATCTCATGACCAAATTCCTGAATACACAGCCATTGAAGACTAATGTCAGCCCCTCGCACTGAATAAATCCAGTTATTCCTCACTTAGATTTACGTTTGACTGAATTGGAATCAATTTCAGAATTAGCATTATAATGTCGAGGCAAGGACTTCAGGGAGGATTACCTCACTTCTTGCACTGTTTGAAAGATTAGTATCCGTAGAAAATCTACAAATCTTCACATCTTCAATCAGACAACTAAAGTATACTTTAGTTTAAGTAATCAAAAGTGCGATGGCACGTGTTGATTCTCTACGAACTCCAGTCAATCTAGTAACACCCTGACTCTAGTGTGGTTATCTCTTACTAAGGATCAGTTTTGGTGCATTTCGGTGGCAAATATAGATAACAACTGGTAATATACACAAACCAATTAAGTGAGGCTGGAGAGGTATTTATATTGACCGCTATCCGAATACTCTCATAGGTCGCACTTATTCAATCTCCAATGTTCGTGTTGCGGACTAATGCGAATCAAATCGATTCCTTAGCATTCTCATCTTAGTAACAAGAGAGACCTCCTTATCACTGGCGGATTTCTGTCTTGTAGATCCCATCACTCGCATCACACAGTTATTGTAAGCCTCAAAGACTGTGAGAAGCCGGTTAGATTTGAAGAGGAGGATTGTTTAATGCTGAAAACATGGTGCTGCTTTAGTCATTTCCCCATGTAACCCTCTCGTCCGGCCACTGCAGCAAAATTATAATGAAATGATGGAAGAGAAAAGAAGACATGGGGAAAGTCAGAGATAACAGTGAGAGGAAGAGTGATACTATTGTGGTGGACCTTTTACTCTGTTAGCTTAGTTACCCAAATTCAAATAGAAAATAAAGTACCAAATCAGTTTAGTTACGGGAAGAATGTATTAAAGTTTGGTTACTTGGGTTTACAAAGATCCAAAGTCCACAATAAACGTAATAGACTCCGGGTGCTGCGGGAAGACTGCTCCAGTACTAATTCTCCAATGTTGACGTTGCCGGAGGTCAACCAAAGTACGTAGGAAGAAACTACGGTGCTCCTGCAAAAATTTGAGATAGAAAGCAGGTGATTAAAATTGATCGACGGCAGTTGAGATGGTGGAGAAGACGGAGAGTCGCAGGCAGAACTATATATTTATTCGAAACCCGAGGTAAAAGTCAAAGTACAGAGTATATGGTTAAAATAAAGTAGTGTACAATATGTTCATTTCTTACATAGTAGTAAAATTTGGTTAAGTTTATTTTTGAGAACTCTACAATACAATACAATGAAAAGATCTACAATGGACACGATGGATGGAGACCGCTTCTCCAGTCTGTTTGAGGTAGTTGATATGCTGCTTTAGGGTCATTTGGTCTTCTTTATACTTTATTCACCTATGGTGTAATAAGTATGACGGCCGGTATGCATTGCAGGAATCGAGGTAAAGAGAGTGTGAATGCACCCCGAAATTATAGCTCCTCATTTGTGGCCGATCATTTCGAGTCACTGCCGATGGCTCTACAATGTTCCGTTAGCTCAGCTTCTCTTGATCTCGAGTTAAGCTTCATGAATTATACTGTCCACTCTCTTTGAAGATTTCACGGAATTCCTCCATCTAGTAAACTTGAAAAGAGCAAGAACGGAAAGTGTATCAGTATAATATTAGCTCATTCTTCTTCATTTGGAAGTTCCTTCTCACCTCTCTACAACCTGAAAATACAAAAACATAAATCACACAAGATATTCAAACGTGCTTCCCACGTGATGACAAACGACTTCTTTCATAATCGTCCGGCAGGCTTCAGCTGCCTTTTTTGGTCATCATTAACGAAGATAAAGGACGCAAAGGCTCCTCTACAATTGCTTGAGAATCACTATAAATGACCGTGTAAGGGATTGGAGGGACTGCTGAATTCAACTGTGCTTCAGCCATTCCATCCTCAATGGTAAATATTTTCATGTGTTACACAGGGATATCAAAGACAACTGGATCTTCAAGGGACTAGAGAGTGGCAGCTGGATTTTGTTGCATCAGTTCCCACAGGATTCATCCACTCTCCATTTTTGCCCTTACCAACTTTGTTCTACCGTCACTGAATATTTCCCTTGGATGTCCCGTTCTGTTGGTGGTCTTCATCAGTACCATTATAAGTGAGTCTATGGATAAATTGTGCGCCACCTCTAAATGTACGACTCGGGATTTTAGACACGTGAAGACACACGCATGGTGTTTTCCAGAACCCCTATCTGATTTCGTTGTAATCACTCTGAAGTTGTACGCAATGGCTAAGGATTCCACAGCTTCAGTGTTTTTAACTAGATTAATGGATATACCCTGAAATGGGTAGGGTGTAGATTAGGTGCTGATGTCAGATTAAGTAGATTATAATTACACGCAGTATGCAAGCGTTTTGGGCCTGAAACAGGTGGGTTTCATCTGCACTCCATTCGTGTTCTGCACTTGTGTTGCCATATAATATATGTTTGGTGTATTATCTCGTATGAACGGCATTCACGATACGATAGGAAGATTAGCAGTGGTCTCGCAGTTATAAGGCATATATCAGCCAGATAAGTGCTACAGTAATCACTGATGGTTAACAAAAGCATGTATTACCACGTTCAGCATATGCGATAACCAATTACGCGCTGCACTTAGGAATGAGGAAAGAGCATAATCCGTAATATCAATATTTGACAGATGCGATAATCCCTACAGATTTCTACTGGTGTTCCATTTCCCCCAATAGAGTTTATCGAAACCGCTATAAGCGCATTAGAATTCAGACTGGAAACCACCTCTAACTGTACAACAATAGTGTGCTGACATCTAAGTATCCTTCTACTTTGATGTGGAAAACAAATAGCCATACCAAGTACAGTTGCTGACCCACAAATATTTACGCTGCTTGCATGTCCCGACGTCAGTCATACAAAGAATTTTATTCGTATTGCCTGTCTTGGGTTTGGTGCATTTTTCAAACTCTCAGCCTCACTGGAGACGTCACTTATCAGAACGCATAGTTCCTAAGTGTTCTGGATTTGCATCCATGAATCTATCTTTTCAATGCAATGGTTTCTGTCGGCGTACAGAATTTTTAATGGTGGAGTGACGAATTAATTTGCACCGAGAAGAAATAAAGATCATCATGGGCTTGACTTATCAGGCACGTCAGTAGAAATTTCATCTGGTAAATGTTTTTGTGAATAACTTTTAATAGAATTACGTTATATGTTATCTGGATTAGTGGGAACACCCACTCTGCGACACCGCATGTTGATGTCCGCTTCATGTGACCAGGCCCCAGCACGCTGCTTAACTAAATTAGCTGAGATGGTCTGTGCCTCAGGCGGACTGTTTCGAAATATTGCTTAAGTGAGCAGGATGCAATAGTTGGAGGGTACGCTCATCGTTTGGGTTGCTTATTAGCTTGATCGCTGTATATTTCTATTTTTGCTGTTAGATTCGCACAAGTGTTTCCCCAGCCCCATACTTGTAACCAATAACTTTCACTAATTCGTTATGGTTAATCATATAAAAACCCACTAACTCAGTCACCTGTTAACCTGATAACTGAAAGCACACGTATGCTTGCAACAACGAGCAACACAGCTCCCATAAAATATGGAAGTGAAATGCACAGCTCGCCGATGCACTGCAAGCGTCGAGCTGCCTTGTCACTACCATCTACTGTGGCCGGAATTGACAGCAAAACTATTCTAACAACTAGTAGCAGCGTTGCTTCTACAAACTTAGCACCTGGTCCTGACATAGATCTCTTCACCTCACCTTATGTACGTGTCATAAAACTTCAGATACCCAGTCCAGATTCAGCACTTACATCAGGAATAGAACGACTAAAGCTGTCCGTAGAAGAGCTGAAGACTGAGATGCGTGTAGTAAGGCTATGAATTCGGGATGCTAAGAAAATTTGGCCAGCATATTCGGACTATCAACACAGATTAGTGACACAAAATCGCAGGTCTGCGAACTTGCACCTCTGAACATCTTGGCCAGGACCATAAACCCTAGCGAATTTGGCACAGAATCAGTAACAAAGGCGGACACTTTGATAAACTTCATCAAAACAGAGGTTATCAAAAGACTAGATACTAAACTAAGCGTGATAGTCAATAATATACCAGATAATGAGGAGTTGAAAAGGTTTAAAATATCTTAATTAGGGCGGCGAAAATGCCTTACTCCCAAACGAAGTTCGTCAGACTGAGTAAGAGTCGGCGCGACCACTGCTGCCCCATATGAATTCAGTTTGAAACTCAGACAGAGGCTAAGAAACTCACCAACACAATGCATCCTATTACAGAACACGAGCTACAGACAAATAAAAGTTGTAGCGAAGGCGTAGCAAGACACCGCAAGTTACCGAAATAGATAAACACACAGCCAACATGGTAGAAATCATGGTCACTCCTCTCTAATCTCGTAAAACTACATCCGAAGAACATCACACCAGCCTCAGTGCTAGCGAATTTTAATCCTTCTGCCAAATTAGGCCCTCCACCCTCTACCTTGGATCTTGATTTGTCTCCGGACAGCCCCAAGGCAAAAAACTATGCCTTTCGTAAGTCAACAGCATCCTCTCCTAGCCATAACGTGAGAGTTAAAATAGAATTCGGTAACAAAACATGCCAAAATACGCCACTCATATCAAAAAATCATCCATATTTTCAAACTCCTACGAAGAATCCATGCTGTAAGGGAAATGAGACAAAAAATAGTACTAATAGCCGTACCAAAAGCCGAAATAAGGACATAACCTCCACAGACAGTAACATCAGAATATATTCGCATAGTATGTCAAGTCAGACGAAAGCCCACACTGATAACTGGTGCAGCAACACCATCACGCAAAACGGTACAGGTGACAGCACTCAGGCCTCAGCTCCCAACCACTCTCGGTCTTCAAAGTATGACACACAAACGAACTTTGACAGAATGCACACCGGTCTGCCGGGAATCAAAAAACAAAGCAGCAATACATATACTAAAACCCATGTAAGGACACCAAGAATGTATCCAAACATTAGGCAGATTAATAAGTTATGAGCATCGCAAGTTACCAATAGTTTTTTATCCGCTACAGCCCTGTGAGTGCTGACCAGACAAATGATGCGAGTGCTAACTGTTGTGAACCCGCACGAATACTGTCGGCTTCCTATAGGGAAGAGAACACAGTCTAGTGCGTTCGCACTTATTAATCACGTCCAGTGCTTGTAGAAACAAAGGCCAAATGCAAACCCCTATCCAAGAACCAACCAACCCGATCACAGAACTACCTGATTCTATAGTGAGCCTTATAATAAAAATCATTATTCACCAAAAGGAGAGGATAATAACTCGATAAACACAGGTAAATAGGGTACTGACACCAACTATTATCCAGGGTTGTCAAGTCACGCCAAACCAGTGGTTGACAAACTACACTTGAGCCTGACTGACGAGTTTAAATACTCCAAA